GCTGGGAAAGGGTCACCCAAGGGCGGGCAGCGCCGGCTGGGATCCCGCTGGATGGAGAGCAGGGCTCTGCGGGAAGGGATCTGCGGGAATGGGGGGCAGGAAGGGAAGGGATCTGGGGGAGCTCAGCACGAGCCGACAGCGTGTCGGCGAAGGGAGCCGGCGGGATGCTGGGATGCACCAGGATTGGCATCACCCCCCCCCGCAGAGGGGGTGACACGGGTCCTCATCCCGCTCCGAACTCGTCAGGAATGCTGGAATGCTGCGCTCAGTGCTCGTGATGGCCACGCGGAGGGGCTGGAGAGGATGCAGAGGAGCGGGCCACAAAGATGCTCCAAGGGCTGGGAATCCTGGCGTAGGAGGGAGGGCTGGGAGAGCCGGGCTGGTTCGTGCTGGGCTGGCTGAGCCTGGAGAGGAAAAGGCTCCAGGTGTTGTCCTGGAAAATAACTGGCATTGCAGGGAAACCTGATCCTGGCCCTTCCTGAAGGGGCTGCAGGAAAGAGGGGGAGGGAGGGGCTTCTTGCAAGGGCATGGGGTGATGGAAGGAGGGGGAACAGATCAGATGTTGGCAAGAAATGCCTCACTGTGAGCGCAGTGAGACCCTGGCACAGGTTGCCCAGAGAAGCTGTGGGTGCCCCATCCCTGGAAGTGTTCAAGGGCAGGTTGGATGGGGCTTGGAGCAACCTGGTCTGGTGGGAGGTGTCCGTGCCCATGCAGAGGGATGGAACCTGATGGTCTTTAAGGTCCAACCCAAACCATTTTATGATTGTTTCTCCTTGTGGCTCCTGTAATCTAGGCCAGCCTTAACTGTGTCACTTAATAGGGTTTATTTTCTCTGTGCTTCAGTGACCTTGGAAGGAACAGCTTGCCTAAATCCCTGGGGACTGATTTGATTATTTTTGTTTGTTTATTTTATTTTATATATATATTTTTTCCCCCCTGCAAGTAACGCCGGTGCAAGGGGCCACCAGCTCTGTGCCCTTTGGGGCGCCTCATGGGTGGTGCTCAGAGCTGGGGCCGGGCCCGCGGGAGCCCCTGCCCTTGGATGCAGCCTCGGCAGCCTGAAAGCCTCTGATCCTGAGTCAGAGCGGTGCTGCGCCGTGTTACTCATTTACAGAGCTAATCCCGCAGATGGCAGGCAAGGGAACTGCCCTGCTGTCACACCTAAATGTCTTTTCCTTATGGATAGCCATTGTTTTGGGGGGGGATTTTTTTGGTCATTAAAAGGTACTTTTTTGGCTCTCGAATGTAATTCTTTTTTTAACTCTTACAGTTTTGCATCACAAAGCACTTTTTAAAATGCCTTTCATAGAAAATTGCCACATCCTTCCCTCCTCTGTGTTCAGGCACGTTTTACATGGGTTATTTTAATCTTATGAGTCAGCCTCGCCTGTCACTAGCACCTCTTTGATTTTCCTGAGAAGCCTTAAGTCATCTGTAGAAGACCAAGGCCTAGATATTTTCACTTCTAGGTCATGTACAATGTGCTCAGAAGGCATGCACCTCTCCTCTGCAGCCCACCACGGGGAGCTGCTGAAGGAGTGGCTTTGCAGTCTGGCGTTTCATGGCCCCCTTTTGCTGGAGTTTCAATGCGTCGGAGTCTGGAGGTTGTTTGTTTTCCTCTCTCTGGCAACACCCAGTGGTTACCACGTCTAGGGTGAACAGGAGGCTGCACCTCTTTTCAGCTGGCTGCAAACAATGGCGAGTGAACTCATGCATGACAGTCGTGTCAGCAGTTGCCTTTCAAACCTTGCTTTTGTTTCTCAAAGATTTAGGAGTCTCTTTCTCCTACTTTTCATCCACTTTCCATCTACTTTCTGTGTGACCAGGACACCAAGCGCAACCAGAAAACGAGTCCCGAGGCTGAATTTTGCTCCTTGTATCAGTGGCTAGACCATGTGTGAGGAAAAACCTTTTCTTTCTCCCCTCCCTCAACATATTTTTGCCGACAGCTGGCACCCCAAACTGGGTAGGCAGCGAGACAGTCCACGTTGTAATTAACACCCCTCCAGAATGAAAGTGCAGGAACTATAATTAGCTCGCAGCCGGTTGCTGAGGAAAGTGATTAGCTGCCCGGTCGGTGACACAAACCTTGTGCCGGTGACACAAACGCTTGTGCCGGTGGCACAAGAGGTTGTGCCGGGGGAGGGGGTGGGATGCCAGGCTCGGCAGACCCCCAGCAGCAGGCAGGAGAGCTGCTGCCTGATCCGCCTGGGCTTGGCCGAC